GAATTTATTGGTGTGGCCCTCAGGCGTGAAAGGTTGAAGACCACTAATTTAGATTGAATTGTCTAATAGTTTTCTATCACTTTTATTAACAAAATGGGACTACTTCAGCTTTCAAGTTTGAAAAAAGCCCACTTGAGTTAGTTTTATATTCTGTAACATTTGACAACTTCTTTCGTTTTCTGCCTTATCTTTTAGGTTACCTATAATTTATAGCAATTTTTCTAAATTCCTGTTTTGCAGTCTCCAAGTTTGTTTTTCACAGTTTACTAGATGCAGCTCTCACAATTTTTTTTTTTTTTTTTTTTTTAATTTACTTATTTTTATTCACAAAATAAAAAATCTTTCTGCTTTAAAAATACTTTAATTATTTTCGTATTTAATACTAACATATATCATTCATTGAACTGAAGCAAATTAATACTTCACTTTGAATTTAAATTACCGTAATTTCCGGAAGAAACGCTGCGGCGTTTACGTGTTTAAGACTTATAATTTTCAGCGGGTGCAGCGTTTCTACCCATGCGGCATTTAGGTGCACTAAAAATAAAATATTTCCTATGATGGTCATTGTACATAGTTTGAATAACCTTATCATTATACATAATTTAGATGGCCTTGTCATTGTACATAGACTGGTGCTGTTCCCACACGAAAGACCGCTCGGTTGCTTTTTGTGAACATTATTTTATTTACATTCTTTCCCTTGAACGGACCTACATGCCTTATTCACCCTAAATGGGATCTCAGAACAATAACATTCTTCCCCCTTTTAAATCAGCATTCTCATCAGTTTGAATAGTCTCTCTCCTCTGCCATTCGATGAATCTTCCAGGACCCATCATCTCCCCACCTCTGCCTTTTCTGCAATTTTGTTCAAAAGCGGACACGACTCCACCTGCCTTGCAATAACGAACTCTGACATATTTTCCCTTCAGCATGAATCGATTTTGCTTGGCATTCTGCCAGATACAGATCCCATCAGTTTGGGTACAAGTACTTGTTGGATAGTTCTTAAGTAAGAAGAAGGGAGCGGAAAAATTTTTGAAAATGGCACCTAAACGGCACAGAAGCTACACTGCTGGTTTTAAGCTTAATGTAATTTCATGCGCTCAACAAATTGGAAATAGAGCAGCAGCTCGAGAGTTTGAAATGAAGGAGAGATGTATTCGACGTTGGAGAACTGAAAAAGAAGAACTTAAAAATATGCCACAACAGAAACAAGCAAAAAGAACTGGTACTGTAAGGTGGCCGAATCTAGAGGACGACCTTGCAAACTGGATAAAGGAGCAACAAGGAAAGGGAATGGCAATTTCGACTGTAAAAATTCACTTATAAGCAAAATTTATAGCAAAACAAATGAACATAAATGATTTCAAAGGAGGGCCTTGCTGGTGTAGCAGATTTATGAAAAGAAAAAAAATATTTCTGTGCGTACTAGAACAACAGTCAGCAACAATTACCAACGTACTGGCAGGATAAAAAGGCATCTTTTCTAAAATATATGACAGATATTATTGACAAAAAAAAAAAAAAAAAAAAAAAAAAAAATCTTCGGTCACAGATAACAAATATGGATGAAACACCGTTAGCTTTCGACTCTCCTGCAAACAGAACTGTTGATGAAACTGGTGCAAAAACTGTATCTGTGCTTACGACAAGGCATGAAAGATTGTGATTTACATGTGCGTTAGCTTGTGCCGCAAACAGTGACAAGCTAAAGCCGATGATCATTTTTAAACAAAAAACTATTCCGAAGAGAGATTTTCCTAATGATGTAATTATTTGTGCAAACGAGAATGGCTGGATGTGCGAAACAATCCAGTTTCGATTGTTCGAGTTCAATCTAAATCATCAATCCAGTTCAATCTAAATCATGCATGAATGGCTACAAAAAGTTTGGCAGTGTCGTAATAGATCTTTTTTCCAACCAAAAGGATTATTGATAATGGATTCCATGCATGCTCATTTACTTGAGTCAGTGAAAACCAGATGTCAAAAATTGTCTATAACCATAGCAATAATTCCTGGTGGTTAGACAAAAATCTTACAACCATTAGATTTGTCAGGTAATAAATCCTTCAAAGCTGAAGTCCGAAAGTAGTGGGAGTGTTGGATGAGTCAAAGATTGCATACGTATTTCAAACGCAATAAAACGGGTAGAGCCATCTTATGAAGAAGTTGCAAAATGGGTAGGAAGTGCATGGAAATCGGTAAAACATCGTCAATAATAGCAGGGTTCAAAAGAAACTGAAATTATATCCTTAGATAAAGAGACTGTAAACCAAGAGGATGAATGTGATGATCTGGAAGACTTTTTTTATTTATTACATGCTCCGCCCTTAGGCACTATACGGAAAGGGAGGGATGACCCGTGGAGGTCTTTTTAAAGAAAACTGGCTCGTATCCACGTTTACACATGAGGAAAACCATGAAAATGCCCATGCAGCCAGCCCGTTCGCCGGGACTCGAACCCCGGAATGAACTACCAGCGTTCGGCTTTTACCGCTCGGCCGCTGGTGAGCCGATCTGGAAGACTTGGGACTTAGATCAGGATTTACTAAATCTTTTTATTCAGATAGTGAAGAATCAGATTTTGATGGCTTCATATGATGTATAGGTTGCTATAATTCCTTTTGTAAGTAAAATTTAAAATTTCCTTTTGTCATCCAAATTTAATATTTCGTTGTTGCAACATTTTTTAGAATATGGTCTGAGTATTACAAATATGGACTTCTTTAGTGGGTAAATATAAGTATATTTGTGAACATAAATATATTTTCAACATTTCTTACCTTTAATTTATTTTTGAGTTATGTTTCATTTCATGCATTTTTCTTAACTGATATGTCATATATCAGGACACATGTTGAGATTTTGCATCTATACGGCCCACGATGATGTCACACACATTTTAATCTATTGCGGCGTTTACGCTGATGCGCCGTTTCTGTGCAATTTTAATTTTTCCCCTGCATTTTTCTCAAATGCGGCATTTACACTGATGCGACCTTCTTCCTGAAATTATGGTAGCGGGTTTTTGGGATTTCTAATCCAAATATAATTTAATGTTTTTCTTTTTCAAATTATTCATTTTTATGTTACTACATAAAAATTAATATATAATATAAAATATTTTATGTTATTGCTAACACATTTTAGGCTTTGCTACTATGATTTTCATCTGCTTAATTACTTCTGCTTCACATGTTTTTGGATTCGATCCACTTAAATTATAATTCATTATTAGATTTTTAAGCCTTATTGCTGGTTTATGATTTATGCTGTTATTTTTTAACCCAGCCTGTATGTTTTCAAAATTTTGGACGTGATCTATTCAAAATATTAAAAAAAAAAAATTTTTGTATTATTTCACAATTTTTTTGTGTTTTTGATGTTATAATTTTAAGACACAAATTGAGATAATAATAAACTGATAAAGACAAAAATTACTCTTATTGTTTTTCTAAGATTATTTTAAAATTTGAAATTTTAATTTGTGTCTTTTCAGAAACAAGCTGTTTTATTTATTTATTTCATTGCACCACCCCCATGATGACGATACAGCGAAAGGTATAAAATTCACATTTCATTTTTGGTTTTGCAATATTTTGCCCTGAATTCCTGGAGTTTGCCACTGTGCTTATGATTTTTGGTTTTTCTATGTAGTTTATTCCGAATTGAATATCTTGAGTTTTAAAGATACTCTTTTGTTTTATTCTGTATACTACTACCACTTTTCGTTGCTATCAGTGCACAACTGGATTAGGTTTTGAACTGTGTTTTACTTTGTTTTATTCATTTATAGCAAAGCACTCAATGGCTATCTTCCTAAGGAGAGGGATGCCTTCATGGAGGACTTTTTACCCACTTGCCTGATTATCCCGAGTTATCTCGGGTTCATATATATTGCAGTTAATTATTATCCCGTGAAAACTTGGGCGAAGCAGAATTTGTTGGTACGATTTGTTTTATCATGGTTTTACTCGTCCTGGAGGAAATGAAAGGAAATATTCAACTTTGATTGGCAGTTTGCCAAATTTTGTAGGTTGCGCGGTTCTTTTGGAGGGAGTGGTCAGGTGTTTCCCTGTTATATAGTATACGTCAGCTTGTGGATTAGTAATGTATAAAGAAGGATACATGCATTGAAAAAAAAATAAAATAATGGTGATGATGCAAGATAGCAAAAGCGATGATTTTTCAGATAGTGATTATGAAGGGGTGGGAAAAAAAAAAAAAAAATCAAATCCAACGAGACAGTGTACTTTGTGCTACCGTGAGATTCCAGTGGTAAGCCAGTAATAAAAGAGACCAGATACCAGTTTAGAATGGCAGGTATCACTTTGTGTTGTCCCTTGTTTCAAAAACTTATCATACAAAGACTAATATTTAACTTTTTTTCATTTGCCTAAGATAACTCGGGATAGTAAACTAATATTAAAACTAAATGCTTTTACACCTTCAAAAAATTAAAAATTCAACTTAAAACGTACATATTTTGATTTGTTTCGTTTTGTTGTATTTAATAATAAAATAAAGAAATCTGATGATTTTTTGCAATTTTTTTCAAAAAAATTTGTAAGGGAAGCAGTTAAGGCAAACTGACTTGTAGGAGAAAACCATCAAAACGCCCATGCAGGCAGCCCATTTGCCGAAATTTAAACCCTGGACCAAACTACCAACCACTTGTAGGTGAAGCAAAATGTTAATAGAATATAGTGCTATATTTACTTGCTGTTTCTTTGTAAGTAATGTTAATTTTAAGCTGCATTTAATGGAATAAATAGTTATTAATTTTAAATATAATCGTATTAATTCATCTGGAGAACTTGTAGTTCATTTGAATGACTTTTAAAAGGGGTTCATAACTTTTTGTTTTGCTGCTGCTGTTATTTATAGATAATTTGTACTTTCAGAGGTATATGGCAAATTGTAAAACACTATAAATGTGTTAAGTACATAAAAGATCATTGCCAAACTTATTTAAAAAAAAATTCACTGACCAACAGTTGGTTCAGCCTTTATCCTTTGCCGCACTGGTTGCCGTGATGTTCTTGGCACACCAATTGGCATCTGATGTTCTGGAAAAGAAATTTAAAAAAATTAATAGCTGGATATATATTATAAAATATGCAGAGCATTCTTCCAACATTCAAGTTTAATACACATAAAATAAGCAATTAAACCACAATCAGATCTGTTTAGACTACTTTGCAAATTGTTTAGACATATTTGAAAGTAAAATATTCAGTATTTACTTTTAGATCACTTAGTGAAGAGCAGAGTTTCTTAAACTGTGGGTCGCAAAAAATTTTAGCAGTTTTAATATTTCTTTAATTTATTATAATAATTTTAGAATGTATCTGAAAACAGATAAAGATAAGACAATACAGACAAAGAAAAACATTTCAACGCATTCTTTTTATAATATAAATGTTCATTTTATTTGCTTTGCACGTGATGCTGTCATTCCATCTGTTACTTCTTTAAAATTTTTCACATTGTTCTACATCTTAAAATTAAAAATTAATGTTAATGACCTAAAACTGCAATACTATATTACAGCACTAGTGAAAAATTGACAGTTTCACTCATGCGTGTGATGTATTTGTGCAAGCAATGCTTACAGGGGTCCCACAAAATTTTCATAAATATTATAGGTTCCTGGGGTCACGAAAAAAATCTCAATGATAAAAAGGGGTCGCGACTGAAAAAAATTTAAGAAGCCCTGGTGAAGAGGAATCCTACCAGCTAAAAATTCAATATACATCAAGCCTGTTAAGAGTATTAGTTATAATTACTAACATCACTCAAGTATTATTAGGTATTAATAATAAGTGGTAATTATTAGTATTAATAATAAGTGGTTACCATTAAGTATTAATAATATCACTTAAGAAGAAAGAAGAGATGGCATTCTATTAAATCGCCATCACTTCTGACTGATTAACTAGCCATAAAAAAACACTCAAAACCATCTGTTTAGGGTGTCTTATTGAAAGATGGCAAGTTATTATAACTGGCTTATATTTTAATTACACATAAAGAACAAAACAATCAAAACCCAAGGTTAAACTATCAGCATTCTGTAGCTAATATCAGGCAGCAAATGGCCCAATTTATTTCTGAAAGTATTTTCTATTTAAAAAAGGGGGGCATGTGTAGATTTTGTGCTTTTTAGATCTTCTGCACTATTTCATAAGAAAATTCCTTAGCACTTCACGCGTTTGACTATAATATCATACTGATTCACTTTTTTTACTTCATCTAATTTTCCATTTCTATGCACAAATTGCACAGCCTATTTTGAATTACACTATATGTACTAAAATCTATGTTGAGATGAATGCTTGTAACACATTTCTGAAGATTTTAATTTCACCATAAACACAGATATCAATTCGTGCAAATAATTTTTGAGCTTGATAACAATCTGAAAAATATAGCATTCCTATTCTGATGTTCAGATAGGGGGATGATGATGATAGTGGGTATCATGGCACAAAAACCTTAAAGGTTATTAGCGCCGAAAAAATTTTTTTTAAGAAAAAAGATTAAAAACAAGTACGCCACAAGCACAAACTAAAAACAATTAGAAATATATGGTGAGAAACACAGTAATTTGCAATAAATGACAGATGAGACATCTGCACATATAAAACCACATGGTATCAGACAAGAAACAGGGCTAAAAATCAAAAGTAAAACATGTTACACAATAAAATGTATAGTATTAAAAATATTAAAACAACATATAATAAAATAAAATAAAATAGTAAAAACCTGTCTCTTTCAGGTACCGAAACTAATTATTATTTACCTCTTTCCTGATAACACGGTCAAGAGGCCCGTCACGATTATTAAAATACTTGAAACGAAGTTGGTTAAAATGCAAACATTCAATTAGAAAATAATGCACGGATAGGACACAATTACAATTTTGACAAAGAGGTTCACTCTCGGCCTTTAAAAGATAACTATGTGTGACTCGAGAGTGACCAATCCTAAGGCGTGTTAACAAGACTTCCTCCTTTCGGTTCCTATTCGTCTCCCAGTTTTCTATTTTACTTACTCCTCAATTTTTTGAACAACAGACCATTCCAAAATAATTGCCATTTGTTTAACATTGTGTGTTTGTTGACGGTTTTGATATCACTGTAAGGAACTAGCTGGTTCGACAAAACAGTAGCAGACTTTGCTGCTGCATTCTGCCAGCTCGTTCCCTTTTATGCCCACATGGCCAGGAACCCAACAGTAACGGATCTTGTATCCATAACTTTTTAATTTTTGATGTAAACTTAAACTGTCCACCAATACAGGGTTTTGGTTGTCAGTAAAACTAACTAAAGATTTTAGAGCACTTAACGAGGCAGAATAAATTATGAATTCTTTTTGGGATTGCTTTGAGATAAAAATAAGTGCAGAATACACAGCAGTCAATTCAGCACTAAATATAGAACAGGTATTATGTAATTGTTTGCCGTCAATATGGTTTTTTGCTACGAGCGATGCTCCTACATGATTAGCTGATTTTTATCCGTCTGTATATATATAGCAGCAAAAACTCTGCATTCATCCCAGTGTTCCAAAAAAAGTTGGCTGTATATTTTCTCATTAGTGTCTCTCTTTTCAAGGTATTCAAATACGTCCAGGAGCTCAATTTGTGGGTGATTCCACGGTGGGATTTCGAAATGCTTTACTGGGTGGACATTCACATCTGATAGGCAGTAATTTTCCAACAGTGATATGCACCTTTCGAAAAATGGGAGAACATTATGAGGCCATGAAGAAAATAGAAATTTATAAATGTCATGAAGCTTACAGATCTGGAGAGGATGATTAGCTTGTGAATTAATAATGAAATACTGATGAAGAGACAATTGTTCACACCTTAACTCAAGAGCTGGTTCGTAACAATCAACATACAGGCTATGGATAAGAGATGTCCTGTAAGCTCCAGAACAAATTCTCAAGAGCCTGATGATGAATAGGATTTAGTTTTAATAGAGCTGAAGGCCGTGCGGATCCATAAACATCTGAGCCATAGTCTAGTCTAGAGTGAAGGAGTGCTCTATAAATACGAAGTAAAGAGCAACGCTCTGCTCCCCAGGAGGTATTCGTCAAGACTTTTAATAGATTTAGAGATTTGAAACACTTCTTCCGCAAATATTGGATATGAGGGAGGAAGGTGAGCTTTCGGTCGAATAACACTCCTAGAAACTTTACTTCTGATGCAACTGGAATTTCTGATCCATAAAGATGCAACTCAGGCTCAGGATGAAGAGATCGCTTTTTACAAAAGTGCATACAAACAGTCTTCTCTTTTGAAAACACAAATCCTTCTTTTTCAGACCATTTCTGGATTCTGTTAATGGCAATCTGCAACTGTCTCTCAACATATTCAGATAGGGGGAAAATGCAATACAACATCCATGAAATGGATTCCAGATGATTGAAATGAATATTTAATAAACAGGGTCTCACTCAATCCTGTGGATATACTTAAAAGTTACTGTCATCCCACAAGAAACTTATGTTGTAATTTCATTCAAATGAACACACTGAATGTAATTTAAACCAAAATGTACAAAAATAAAAGAAAGTAATTTTGCATTGTTTGCAAGTTTATTTACTTCAAGTTTTATGTTTTTAATAAACATATTCTAGAATAAACAGAAATTTCATGAGATCATTTGAAAGTTTATGATAAACGTGTGATTACATATACACACATTTAAATGCAGCTGTCTACTACTATGCAATTAACTGTAATGCAAAAGTAAGTAGTACAGTGTAAATTTTATATAGCATTGCATTAACTTTCATTCAAAAATAAAATCCTTTTAAATTTACATGACAAGATCTACTTTTTTTTTGGGGAGCACTAATATTTAAAAATTAACATAAGCATTTAGTTTTATTAATGTTCAGAATCCTGCTATGCAACATTACTGCTTGAATGTCTCTTGGAAGATAATCAATACTTATTCCTAATAAATTCTGGTACAATCTCGGAATGACTTAAAATAAATTCTGCATCCTAAAAACTTCACTGTTTATAACTGAGAGGGGATTTTAATGTTAAATAAATCAAAATAATACTCATGTTTGTATATAATTAAAATGAAAGCTTTTCCAGTAAATAAAATTAAAATGCCCACTCCTCTTAAAAAGAATATTAATTCTGAAAGTTTCAGTGTTTAGCTCCACATTTCTTTTTTGGGTGTTAAATGTTATAAAAAAGAAAATATCAAAACAGAGAAACACGACATTTTAAACTACTAAAACTACTAAATTGTAAGCAACAGTAAATTAAAAGAAAGAATAGGAGCTCTTTATATGAAATTCTTTTTAACATAAATAAAAATGAAATACCTCGAGATACTGCTCCACTAGTTAATACACTGCCTTGAAAGTACCTATCAAGATCAATTCTTTCTTCAACTTTTAACTTCTTTCGAGCAAGGCCTTCTGGATCTAATTTTAGAAAAAAAAAAAAAAAAAAAAGGTTAATTTACTTGACAAATGCATAATTCTTATTATGCAAGAAATTTTTAACATGAAAAAATGTAATAAAAATATCTACCAGCAAGAATAAACTATGATATAAAAAATTTTGATCAACAATACTGCATAATTCTACAGTCTCCACATATATTTTCACTATTATTTACATCTATTTCTTTATGCTGCATTTTAAATGAAGATGGGTAACTCCCCATATGAAATGATTCTTTTCATACATGCACATGCCTTTTCATTATCAAATGTATAATACATAAGGCTCCTGTCAATAAAAAATATGAATACTTTTGTTTACATTATACATGTTCCCACCGGGGCAAAAAAACCACAATGAATAATTTGCTTAATGCTAGAAGTCAAATCAAAAAGCAACTAAAATTAAAAAATAAGATTACTATAACTGCTCCATTAAAGGACATACGAAATAAATTTATTACAGGCCATAGACAAAATAAAAATTAATTTTGCTCAACTACTTTTTCCAACTAGACAAATATTTGATATTGTTCCAACTACCAGTTTAGTTAGTTAATCAGTTTTATACTATATGGCAGTATCTTTTTCACACTATTTTAATTGTAAAAACAATGTTTATGCTTATCATTTCTTTCACATGCAAACTTTCCACTGAATTTGCAAAGAGTTTTTAAAATGCTGCCTTCGAATCTTTAGCAATTTACTGTGAAATATAATTTTTTTTTTCATGTTTACATTACAAAGAGTTGAAATAAGAAGCAAATGAACTAACTGTTATCTTAAGCGGAAACAGGGTTTATCTCACTTAAATTCCTTCTCTCTCTTTTTTTTAATACTCTGCTTACAACAAATTGTCTGTATGAAACAAATAAACATAGCAGTACAAAATCAGTGTATTTTGTCTTGTCTCTTATTTAATTCACTATATACACGAAATTCTTGATATAATCTATATTCATAACATTTAGGGACTCAATTTTAGTTGTATTAATATCGGGTAATTCATTGAAATATTAAAGCAGCTAATCTAATTTAAAAAAATTCACCCTTTTATTCACAAACTAAAAATTTTCTTGTACACAGCATAAAACAGCAAATTAAATAAATATTTGTAAAACATAAAAAATTAATATTAAAATATATAAATCTGATCATGCAAATTCGAACAAAATGATGAAAGAAAAAAATGTGTTAAAACAATTTTAGTGGTACCACCTATTGCTCCATGAAGTAAATACACAATTAAGTTAGCTAAATCACCTACTGGAAGAATACCAAATATTCCATGCTAAATTTTAATTAAGGATTTAAAAATATATTTTGCAGCTACTTATGACGAAGAATAAAATTTAGATGTAAACTAAAAATTTTAATCTTTACAATAAGTGATTTATTTCCATATATTTATTTACTGCAGTGGAGCTTTCATGTGTTTAGTTATAAATAGATAAACAAATTGGTACTATTTTGTTTTGAGGACCGTAAACAATCGCCAAACTATTGTTGATGCCAGTGCTGCCAAAAATACTTGCGGCAACTCTAATGCATGAAAAGAAGTATAATAGTAAATAACTATCTAAAGATTATTGTTTTAATTTATGTGAAAGTTTAATTTTATATAATACTTTTTTATTATTATAATTTATATAAAAAGAGTTAAACATAACTGAATGGAGGCATAAGAGTAAATAACTATCTCAAAGCATTATTATAATTTATATAATAAAAGGCTAAACATAACTGAATAGATTCCTGCATTGCTATTTCACTAACGAGTTATCACTATAATTTCATCTCATTGGTTGTTCAAACATAATTTTCTATAATGAATGATGCCTTTTCTTTGAAAAAATTCTATTGCAGTCTTTTTGTCATGAGCAATTCTAAAATTGTTAAATCCATAGGATATCAAAAAAAGGATTTAAAAATTAAACTAGTATTTTTAGTTTAATTAAACTAGTATTCAATGGCATCTTAAATACAGAACTATCTAAACTTACGCAATTTGAAATCAGCTCGTACGCTAGATTTGGTGCGCTGTTAAATGGGTGCGTTTGCTAGATTTGGCACTTTTGCATATATATTTTCACTGCAATTTTTTATGGTCCTCAAAATGGAATAGTAACAACAAATTTCTGATTTCATTAGAGACTTTTGATCAAATGCTTTTAATCAACATTTATTTTTGTGAAGCATGAAAATGTGTAATGACATGAAAATTTAGTAATTACCAGGAATCTTAATTCTTAAGATTTTTTATTAATAACAAATTTTAACTGATCTGTTACAAACAAGGTGATTGGACTGATGAGTTGTCATTTAACTATTACAATGAAACTATTTTAATCCTTCAAAGGTTTGGCCCAGAATACCCAAACAATGACATGAAAATTATACTTTCTTGATCATAATTCCAAAATGTCCCTGCTAGGACTTTTTTATTCCTTATATAGTCCTGAACAGTTTGAACAGATATATATGGCCTGGCCAATTGGAGAGTTTATCAGAAAGGTTCAAATTAGCATAATTAAAATTTATATTTCTAAATTTTATTGGTTCTAATAAAAACAGCATTTTATTAGTGATCAGTTGAAAATTAATGCAAATTTTGAACATAACTTGTTAAAATACTTATTATATAGAAAGTGTCTTCATATTAATTAAATATGCAAAATACAATTTTATTTACCAAATTGAAACATGTGATCAAAATATCAAAGAAATGATACAATAAAACTTACCTCTTTCCATTGGTAAATACTGAAATGGTCGTGGTTCACCCCGCTTGTTTTCACTTGGCTTACGCAGTTCTACAAAAACAGGAACAGGTTGCTGCACATTTTCATTATGGTAACGAGGTGTTCTAAATGATATTGCTACCTGTTTATGTACATCACTTGGCTGAAATTCTGCTTGACTTTCCCATACAATCCTGGACCCTTGTTCTTCATAAAACCATATTTGAATATCTTCTATGAAATAGAAAAGTTATTTTAGAACCGTTGAATTTCATCTGGTGAAAGTTTGCTTAAAACTGAAAAGATTCTGTTCACACAGCTGCACATCCATGTTGAATCCTGTTTATCCTTACTGGAATGCAACATTACTACAGTAGAAGTCCATTAGTCCGGCATCCAGCAGTCCGGAATGCCCGATAGTCCGGCATCGCTCCGGAAAATTGTAAAAATTTTGGCTTTCTCCAAAAGTGTGTCTTTAAAGCAAATAAAACCGCTTGAGAGCTATTCGGAAGTTTTCGGGGTAGTTCGAGATCATCCGGAAGCGCTCGGTATTGTTGGGAAACAATTAGCGGCCGGCTAGTCTCAGCTGTCACAACAAATTCAGGTGCAGTGCAGCTCCGTTAATCAATCACGAAGCGTCTTCGCCATTTTTTTTTGTGCGTTGTTGTTTTGTGTCCTTTCACATCGCAGTAAACGTAACTTTTGAAATAAGTTCTAACTGTACAGTTAGAACTGTAAAAAGACTGTACAGTTAGAACTGTAAAAGTTCTAACTGTACTGTTTATAAAAATAGTGATTTTCGTTCTAACTGTACAGTGACCATGTTTTCAAAACCTAAGCCTTCGAGTTCAAAAGGATAGAAACAAAAGCACGTAACACTGACTCTCAATCAGAAACTATAAATCATCAAACGGCTAGAAAGAGGCGAGAATAGAAATGTTTTAATGAATGAGTTTAATATTGGCTCATCAACTATTTATGACATTAAAAAACAAAAAGATGAACTAATGAAGTTTGCTTCTCAATCGGTAACAACTGAAAAATTGGCCTTCTAGACAAACATTAAAAAAACCAAAACTGGAACAGCTAGATAGTGTATTGTTCAAATGGTTTAGTGCAGTACGTTCTGAAGGAAAGCCGGTAACAGGGCCAATGATTGTTGAAAAGGCAAAGAAATTCGGCCAAGATTTAGGAGTTGCTGAAAGTGAATGTAATTATTCTGATGGTTGGCTCAGAAACTTGAGTTTTGGCATGGAATTCGAAGACTTGATGTAACTGGAGAAAAACCCTTCAGCAAACCAAAACTCTGCAGAAAAATACAAAGACAAGTTTGAGAAAATCGTGGCTGATAATGATTTAACACCTGAACAGATTTACAATGCTGATGAAAACAGGGCTATTGTGGCGATGTTTACCAACATCTACACTAGCTGGGGGAGGAGAAAAAGCAGCCAAGGGTTTTAAAAAAAAACAAAGACAGATTAACCGTTTTGCTATGTGCTAATGCGTCTGGAAACCACCGAGTGAACCCCTTTTGTGATAGGTAAATCTGCAAAACCCAGGGCTTTTCAAGAATGTTACACACTTGCCTGTCCAATACGATGCTCAATCAAATGTGTGGATAACTGCCGCCCTCTTTAAAGACTGGTTTTTTCACCACTTTGTGCCTGAGGTCAAGGAATCCTTCAAAAAGCCTTGGTCTACCAGAAGATACTAAAGCCATCCTTCTTTTGGACAATTGCAAAGCCCATCCGCCAGTAGATGAGTTAGTTTCTGGAAATATTGTTGCTACTCTGCTCCCACCTAACGTAACATCTTTGATTCAACCCATGGACCAAGGGGTTATTCAAAATTTTAAATGCTTTTATAGAAGGTCTTTTATTCAAGGCCTGTTAAATGCCGACTGTGACAAAACTGATTTTCAAAAAAAGTTTACAGTAAAAGATGCCATCTATGCTATTGCACAGTCTTGGAACCAGGTAAAAAATACAACACTCCAAAAATGTTGGAGAAAACTTTGGCCAGCTGCAAACCCTGCATCTGACCTAACTCTACAGACTGATGAGGAAGAAAACCATCAAGACGCTCTGACCAAAGTTTTGGATGTCGTTAGAAGTACTGACAATCCCTTGAAAAACCTGTCTGAAGATGAGGTAGAGGAGTGGCTTTTAATCGACGAGAATGAGCCTGTTGAACAAGAACTAACCGATGAGGACATTATCAACATTGTAGTAAACCCTCAGCCTACTCAAAATCTTGAAGAAAATGACTCAGATGCCGAAACGGAAGTGAGTGAGTGAGTGATTATGGCGCAAAAACCAGAGATGATTATGACTCGCCAAACACAAGGTGGGATGATTACAATTGATGTCATTAAAATTCAATAAATAAAAACAAGTAGATAAATGTACCAAATCCAGAGGATGAAGTCATATAAACACAAGTTAAAAGCACATATTAAAATTCAAGACACAGTCTTCAAAATAAATTACATTAGGTAATAAAAGCCAATCTCTTTTAAATAATAAAATAAATTACAATTGACCTCTCTTCCGATTAAACGGTCGAGAGGTAAGTCACAGCTATTAAAATATTTCTGGCGAAGACTATTAAAACATGGACACTCAATTAAAATATGACGAACAGATAAACAAACATTACAATTAAAACAAACAGGCTCATTTTCAGCTTTGAGAAGATAGTTATGTGTGACTCTAGTGTGACCAATTCTGAGGCGAGTCAAAAGAACGTCCTCCTTACGATTTCCAGCAAAATCCCAATGTTCAATTCTAGGCTTGACGTTTCTCAACTTGTTGTGATGCTGAACATCCCAAATTTGCTGCCATTTTTTCCGCATCTTCCCCTTGATTACACAGCAGATGTCTCTAAAAGGAATAAGGCGAGTGGACGGTTCAACAGCATATTTGGCTGCGATGTCTGCAAGCTCATTTCCCTTTATTCCTGCATGTCCAGGGACCCAGCAGTACAGAACTTCATATCCTCGAATTGTTAAATTTCTATGAATTTTGAGAACATCCACTACCACAGGATTCTGCGTGTTGGGGAAAGCTTCCAAGGATTTAAGAGCACTATACGAGTCTGTATAAACTATGAACTTTTTGTGGCAGAGCTTTGAGATGTACAAAAGACCGTAATATATTGCAGTTAGTTCAGATGTTAGGACTGAGAAAGCATGGTGCAGGCATCTGCCCTCTATGTAATCTTGAAATACAAAAGCCATCCCGACATACACAGATGGATCAAAGTCAAAGGGCTTTGATCCATCCCGATATACACAGATGGATCAAAGCCATTTGACTTTGATCCATCTGTGTATATCGGATAATGACTGCTATATTTGTGCCTGTGCTCAGCGAAGAGTTGTCTGTAAACGATCTCGTTAGTGCTCGCCTTTACGTGATGTTTGAAAATATCGAGAAGCTGGATCCGTGCATTTTCCCAAGGTGGAATTTCAAAATTCTGTACTGCTTGGGGGCACATATCAGAGAGGGAAAGTTCCTCAATGACAGGGCGAACTCTTAAAGGAAAAGTAGGAACACAGGATGGACGTGTTTCATATAATGTGTTACACTCATTATCAAGTAAGCACAGCTTATTGGGATAGAATATTAAAATATTGCAAAAGGGACAATTGCTCACGCCTCAGATAAAGTGATGGTTCGTTAGAGTCAACATATAGGCTCTGTACAGGAGAAGTCCTGAAAGCTCCTGAACAAATCCGCAGACCTTGATGGTGAACAGGATCCAGTTTTAACAAAACAGATGACCGAGCGGATCCATAAACAACTGAGCCATAGTCCAGTCTAGAGCGGATAAGCGCTCTGTAAATGCGAAGCATAGAGCAACGCTCTGCACCCCAGGAGGTGTTCGCCAACACTTTTAAAATATTTAGTGTTTTTAGACACTTCTTTCTCAGGTTTAAAACATGAGAAAGGAAGGTCAATTTTCGGTCGAACGTCACTCCTAAAAATTTTACTTCGGGCGCAACTGGAATAATTGTACCATTCAGATATAACTCAGGTTCAGGATGGAGACCTCGCTTCCTACAAAAGTGCACGCACACAGTTTTCTGCTTCTGAAAAAGCAAATCCCTGTTTCTCTGACCATTCTTGGATCTTATTCAGAGCCATCTGCATTTGCCTCTCTACATATCTAATGTCTGCCCCTCGACAGCTAATCTTCAGATCATCAACATACAGAGATCTCGAGATGGTGGGAGGAGTGAGTGAGAGATTATGGCGCAAAACCAAAGTTGATTATAGTGCGCCAGACGCGAGATGGGGTGAGTACAATTGATGAAATTAAAATACAATAAATAAAAACAAGTAGACATATGTATCAAATCCAGAGGATGAAGTCATATAAAAACAAGTTAAAACCACACATTTAAAATTCAAGACACAATTTTCAAAACAAATTACATTAGGTGATAAAAGCCAGTCTCTTTTAAATAATAAAATTAATTACAATTTACCTCCCTTCCGATTAAACGGTCGAGAGGTAAGTCACAGCTATTAAAATACTTCTGATGAAGATAATTAAAATATGGACGCTCACTTAAAATATGACGGCCAGATAGACAAACATTACAATTTGAACAAACAGGCTCATTCTCTGCTTTTAAAAGGTAGCCATGTGTTACTCTTGTGTGACCAGTTCTGAGGCGAGTCAAAGAACTTCTTCTTTATGATTTCCAGCAAAATCCCAATGCTCAATTTTAGGCTTTACATGTCTTAACTTGTTTTGACGCTGAACATCCCAAAATTGCTGCCATTTTTTTTCGTATCTTCTCTTTCACAACACAACAGATGTCTCCAAAAGGGATGAGGCGACTGGACAGTTCAACAGCACATTTCGCTGTGATATCTGCCAGCTCATTCCCTTTAATTCCCACATGAACGGGAACCCAGCAGTACAGGATTTCATATCCACGACTCATTAGGTTTATATGTATCTTGAGAACATCCACTATGACTGGGTTTTGAGTGTTAGAAAAAGCTTCTAAAGATTTCAGTGCACTATAGGAGTCTGTATAAACTATAAACTTTTTGTGGCAGAGCCTCGAGATGTGCAAAAGACAATAATATATTGCAGTTAATTCAGATGTTAAGACAGAGAAGGCATGGTGCAGCCGAAAACGGAAGAAAAGGAAAAAATTAGCTGGGCAGAAGCTGCAGAATCACTAAATAAGTTTATCTCTTTTGCCGAGGCTAGTACTAGCTACAGTGCTTCAGAAATTATAGATTTCCATATCATTAGAAATAAATTTTATACTAAACGCCAAAAGTCAAAAAAACAAAAAGACATTCGTGACTTTTTTAAATCTAAGTGAAATATGTTTTACAGTACGTGTACATACATTATATGAAATGTAAAATAAACTTTGTTGTATGTATTTGCATACTGTATTTTTAGTTTAATTATTAACCTAATTGTTCTTATAATTACCACCCGATAGACCAGAATTTTCGGTAGTCCGGCACCGAGCCGGTCCCGAACGTGCCGGATTATCGGACTTCTACTGTATTTCAAAGTGTCTTTTACCCCAAATCTTCACAAACTATTGAAGTATTGAAGAAAAGTTGCATGCAGTACTGATGTAAGAAAAACTTTCACTTTTTTTTAAAAATTATTCAGGTACCCATATTTCGATATGCACATTGTTAAGTAAAGTAAAACATTATGGCAGAGTACAGAATACTTGGCATATCTCAAGTACAACTTTTTTTTTTTTTTTAAAGAAACAAACTTACATTTATACATACTATGTAACTAAATTAGATTAGACCAGGCGTTCTCTTGTGCACCACCGGTTGGGTGGTACACAAGAGAAATATAGGTGGTATGCAAGAAGCAAGACACTTTTAACTAATAAATTCAAAAATTAAAACCCCAACATCCTGATTTAGTTTTTTTTATTTAACACTCATAAATTTATGCGATCTGAGCTTTGTTCAAGAGTGGAGGTGGAAGTAGTACTTTGTAGTGATGACACTAAAGGTTTTCAATTTTTGTTTAGATGGTACACATTAGTGAAAAGGTTAAGAACAACTGGATTAGAATATTTAACTAGGCAAAATACATGAAATAATGTCTTTTAACACCAACATAATTTTGAGAAAAAACATCCCAAGTATCACAACTAAGACAAATTAAATAAACATTTAAGTGACTAATCTCCAGTAATAGAAAAAAAGAAAGTAATTAATAGTGATCAGTGGTTTTACCCATGTGGTTATTGGTGCACTCCATATCCTAAAAAAATTTTACTTTTAAGTGAGAAAAATATCAAAAATGCATAACAAAGACAAACCCTTTTGTCTCCTCATTTCACTGCTTCCACATAAGCAGTTGCAAAGCGTTATACACCAGTCTGTTATTAAAAAAATTAATATAAGAGATTTCAGAAAACCTTCTTTTAATGCAGAATTTATGAACTGAAACTTACAAATATTATACTAAACTTCCCAAATGGAACCTGATTATAACTAATGAAAATATGTTCATAGCAACTGGGAAGGGGGAGGACAATTTATGTTCTTTGAAGCAATATAATAATTAAAATTATAACACTATCTGTGAAATAAAGCATGATTTGCATATAATTTAAACTGATTACAATTATGAAAGCTAACAGAAATATTTAATTTAATGAAATTATATTATTACAGTATCAAGATGACAATGATTAATAAAAAAGAATACTTGAAAAAAGTAAAACTCAGTAGCAAAACAAATTAAAATGCATAATATATGATTCATTACAATAAATGCAAATGCAGAAGAAATAATATCTATAATGAAATAAACTTTGTCCCCAAACCCCCAAAAAATAATGTTAAAACATACTTTTAAGATATTAAAATTACCTTTTGCAACACGATCACACAGCAGGATAACTTCAGTGCCACCTGTAACAGGTGCTGAATAATGGCTCAGTTTCATTATTGTCAAGTCAGACATTGCCTCTGCAAATAAAAATTTGGAAGATCATAGAGTAAACTTATAAACATTTTAAAATTTATTTAATTTTAAGAGACTAAGAAAACTTAATCAAAATACCATTTCAAATTTATAATGCTCACTTTTGTCATAAATTGGCTCTGAAACAACAGGTTGTAGGGGCAAAGAGTAGGAATTATCAGGACCTCGTATGAATACTTGGAAGCACAGTCTCAAAACATTAAGATCAATACTTCCGGGATGATTAAAGCCAGCTAAAAATTTTATAATAAATTAGTACACTTTTCTTAATAATTAAATCATGTTCAAAAGAAAGCAGATATAAAAAAACAAACATATATACAAGGTAATTATAAATGTTTAATTAATAGTTATTTGGCACCTGTAAATAAAAAGAATGTGGCTTGACATAAATTTAATATGTATATGTATGATAAATGATCCTTTTTAAAGAAAGAAAAATTGTGTTTCATATTTTGTTGATATAAGTGAATTAAAATGGAAGCTATACAAATGTCGAATTTGAAGATTCCTGTAGATTTTTTATATCTGGGTATTTAGTATAACTATTTGAAAGGAAAGAAACATAAATTTTAATGTATCACTAATAAAGAAAGCTGTAAAAAATACAAGCAGTATTTTTTAAAGAATTATTATCAAAATTTGGAAGTAGATGCCCATTAAGTATTTCATTAATAATTACAAATAAATACTTGATCAAATTTCAGTTGAAATTACAGAAACTGTATTAATACTGGCAAGATTAATAGATATAAGAGCTGAGGAAAACATAAAAGATTTAAGAAACTAAGCAAATATAGGGAACTAAACTTTTTTAAAAAGTAATTAGAACATACACCAATCACTTACTTCCAAATGGATCTAACTTATGTGCTTCACGCACTTTAAGAGATTTTTCAATATCCCTTTTCTTCACACACTGTATGCCTAAACTTGTAAAACTAAAGAAAAGAAATTACATTAAATAAAATAAATAAATAAATAAATAAAAAGTATAAATCTACACAGTTGGATATTTAAAGTGCAACATCATGAAAAGCAACACATATCAAAGCCATGCATTTATTAGACAATAACATAGACTGCAAGAGTAAACTGATTAAATTTACAGTCTGAATCAACTCGTAGAAAAACAAAGAAGACAATATTTTGGGTAGCTGCTATGGTAATATTTGTTGTGATATGGCTTTGCATTTATAAGAAAAAGGCTTTGGATGCAAGCTTGGGATAGATCAGTCCATGGTGTTTCCATATACTGCCAAAATTTCTTTAGTATAGCAATAGATGGTGAATGATAGGCCACTTGTTTGCCACCCATTTACCAGATGCGTTCGATGGGTAACACAATGGGAGAATGGACAGGACAAAGTAGCACTACAATCTAGTGGGCAATGAAGAAGTTTTTACTATAGTTGTGTCCTATTGAAACTTAATTTTTAATAAGTTTTGAAGGCAAGGGAAAGGACAATAGGCTCTACACTTTCACTAATATAATAATGTTTATTGAGCAAGCCAGCAATATGCTTTAAGTGGGTATGAAAATAAAACTTTATAGTACCCCAAAACATAACTCCAAGTGATGAACTTGTATAGTGATACTTAATACAAGGGTTATGATGTCTGTCCCCAGATTTTGGTATATCACTGAGTTGTTGTCGGCAGAATCAAAATTCTCTTGAAAAAATAATGTCATGCCATTCACTTATCCATGTTCAATCTGCAACTACAGCTGCACATCTGTAATTTATGCAATGGTAATCACAGCAATAGACATCTTGCCAAGATTCCCCTCCTCAGAAGACAATGAAGAATATTACATGCTGATACAAACTGTTATATAAGAGATCCTAATTCTTGCACTAGGGTTCTTATTCAATATGTCACTGACATATGCATAGCATGCCTGTCCTTTCATTCAGTAATGTGATAAAGCTGTTACACTCAATCTCATCGATCAGTTTGTTCTTTCTGCATTTATTGATTCTATATTTGTATCAATGTGATTTGATTTCATCAGCAAGAGTACCAGTTTTTCGGAAGGTAGCTTACAGCTGGTTTATATCATATTTTTCTCTTGCGAACTTAGAAACTTACTCAAATGACTGTCCCCATTTTTTAGTACACTGATTAGTTTAATACTGAAGACTTCTTCACAAAGGAACGGCTACAAACATAACAATTTCAGTATTTAAAAGAGCCTACTTTTATCCCATTTTACAATACTTCTAAGGTGGCATTATTGGCACACATGACTTGCATGTGTGCTGTAATACTAATCATTTGCATATTTTTTCAAAGTCTATGCATGATGCAAATTTAAGCTTACAGAATATTTCTTTCATGGCATTGCATTTCAGATTAGCAGCAATGTGCAAATGCTTTGAATATCATGCAAAACAAAAACATAAATTCACTGTACAGTTAATACAAAAATAAATTTGTAAGAAAAATTACTGAAGATACAAAACATAGAATGTCTATTAATTGTTAACCTAACCGATAGTCAGTTCAAAGAAATCATTGGGAAAATACATTAACATTAGAAAGAGTACATCCAGTAAGATTCTTAAATCCTCTCAGTGGATGAAATTTTTTTTTCTGGGGTTTGAGTGGCTATCAAGCACGTCAGCAGGTTGGTGGATTGCCGAACGTCCTTTATTATCTGACAAGAATAATAAAGAAGCAGCTGTGAATTCCTTCCCGTAACCCTATCATTATGTGACCTGTGCCTAGGGTGAATGATATTGCATTTAGGTTATAGTGTCTTAATGGAGCCTCTAGAATGCTTGGCAATTTCTAGAGTATTTTGCCTTACTCAGCAACAGGGAATACTGGGTAGACCTTTTTTATCCTTTACTTTTTTCTAGTTTATATATGGCTGAAAATGACAATATAACTTAAAATTCTGCTTTTACAGTCAAAACCTCTGAGAAAGACCTTTCTTCTTAAAACAAGAAAACTCAGAGGAAATCAGTTGAAGGAGCATAAATGAATCCTTCATCGAGTGAGGTAAAAATGACTTCTACTCAAGTTAATTAACATCTGGAGAAGAGCAGGAACCTATTAAATGCATGACTGCCTCTCAAGATAAAATCAAAATAAAAAAGAGAACGTCCAGTGCACAAAAAAAGAAACATGCCCAAGAACTTAAAATTGCCAAAGGTACTTCTTGGGTTAAAAAAAAAACTCACGGGAAAGGTGAAAAAATATAATTACAAAGGACGGAGCCGAATACAGCCCTGAAGACTGCCAAAAGAGATAGACCTAAAGGTTCTTACGGTAGTCAAGTTAGCTGTATTCATTGATAAATATCCTGAAAAACATTTATCAGAGGAACAGGCTACTGACCTTGAACTTCTGATAACGTTGACTACTTTAGGTATTCTCAATACTAAGTAGTTACACTTGAGCGGTATTAAGGGGCTGTTCGACTTTATAAACAACACGAGCAACTCAAACAAATGGAGTTAGATTTGGTGTATTTGGCACAAAATGCTATTTAGCAGAGGTACCTGATATCTGACAAACTTAGTTTCAAGAAAAAGACTGAAAATTTGGTATGTCTAATCCATGATAAGTCATTTAACAGCCTCATCATTGTGAATTATGATAAAAAATGTGGTTTACATACATTGGAAATGAAAGAACATTAGTGACAATTAACGTTCCTTTCATTTTCAGTGTATGTAGAGACTCATTTCAAAGGATAAAGGGATGACTTTTTAGAATGGCTAAATCTATAAAAAAGTGAACTGAATTTTCAAGTTTTGAGTGCTGAAGATATTATTTACAGTGTAGATTTTGAGAAAAATAAAAATTGATAGAAAAATAAAAAATTGATGAAAAATAAAAATTAAATTGATGCTTAGGATGACAATTAAATGGATATAGACAATGCAAAAATTAGCCATGATGAAGTCTCGGTTTATACCTATTATGGTAAAGCACATGAAGACTATCTGCCTAAGAGCAATGTTTTTGTGGAGGACTTTTTTTTTTAATGGAAACTGACTCATATTCATGTTACATGCAAGAAAAGCCATGGAAACATCCTCATAGCCTAATCATTTCCTGGAAGTTGAAACTATGCTGAACTACAAGTGCGGTTATTCACTTGGCCACAAGCCTTAAATTAAGCTCTTCACAGAAGCACCTTGATGTATCACATATGGATCTTTCGTTGAACAAAACCTGGCATCATTGTGTGATGGCTGATAAAGGTGTAAGACTAACATAAAAAAGAATAACAGACTTCTCTCTTAAAAAATTTAAATGTTTCATAAAAATGAGTGCAAGAAGTTCAAAAATTTTACAATACGTGTAAATTTTAACTAAGTTTTCATTAGTCCAAGGTTTTTTTTTTTTGTATATTTTTGTCATGAAATAAAATCTTGTATGGATTACTTGTTACTTAATATAATCTTGTAAGGAAACAAATTTGATCGAAATGACTTTGTTAGAATGTTAATACAGTCAAAAGTCGTTAATCCGGACTCGTCGGGACTTTGTCGATTACGGATTATCGATTTTTCTGGATTATAGATCATCAGTTTAAATCTGGTAAGATGGCATGCAGAAATTATAAAATTAAAAATATGAAACCGTAATTTATGAAATAAAGAACAATTATGATCTAAAGGGTATCAAAATTTACAAAAAAAATAGCTTAATATTTATTTGTTTACTTTATTAAACATTTCTTTCAATGCAAGTTGTTTAAGTTGCTTCGTTTTTTTATGCGATAATACTTTCTCTTTAATTCTAATAACAGACATAATTTCTTCTTCAGTTGCAAAGTTCCGCTGTTCAAGTCCTACAATTGCTGTGTAGAGAATACCTACTAATTTGTCAATCGAAATTTTTTCGTTTTCAATAACCTCTGTGTCACTTTCTTCACTATCGAAAGTGAATTATAATGACGAGAAATTTGATTTAAATCATATCAAAGGAGTACATCGAGATGAAATATTACATTTAGTAAGGAATTATAAGCCAAATAAAATAAAAACATCTGCCCTGAAGATAAGGATAGTGCTGAGAGATCAACTTCCAATTCATTGCGCGCTGCGGCCCCTACCGCCGCAGAGCAGCATGAAAATGATAAACAGATTTCGGAATGGTTAGAGAAGCGACGGATATGCCGTTATCCATTTTTTGCAGCAATTCCACTTTTTGTTTAATGGACTTTGAAAAATACTTTCACTTTGTAGATCCTTTACATATTAGTAAAATATATATCAGAAATTCTATTTGACATAATCGAAAGTTCAAGCTTACTTTTATAAAATTGCTCTAACAGTCTGCAAAAAATAATAAGCCGGATCCAATTTGAAGATTAAGGAACAACACAATCTGCAACATTAACTGAATTATATAATTTTAGCTTAGCTTATACCATCCGTTATACATTAAACGCGCATGCGTAAACTTATTACGCGCATGCGCACATGCATATTCGCAGCCGTAGAGGTCTTTACGCGCATGCGTCAACACGACGCATGCACAGAAAGTTTGTAGCTTTGAGGTTCAGATTATAGATCATTCCGGATTATGGGTGTCCAAATTAACGACTTTTGACTGTAATAGTACTTGTATACCTTCAAATAAGTAGTTTCATAAATCCGTGCACGAAGAAAAATAGGGAAATTAAAATTTAGTCTCTAATTAACCGAATTTACTATTATCCAAGGTGTTATGGTCTCAGTTATCTTGGATTACCGAGATTTTACTGTACATTACACATCTATGCTACTATACCCAACATCGTCCAGCTGATATAGTGGTTAGTGACACCGACTGCCGTACTGAAGGGCCTGGGCTTGAATCTTGGAGAAGGCATGAATGTTTGTACGTGTATGCTATCCACGCGACGAGCCAAACGTCCTCTCAAAAGATTGGTGATTGGGGAAGAGAGTTTGGAGTGCTGCCCCTTAAAACTTAGAAGGAGAAGCTTGACAATTTGCAAGGTTCAGCAATACTTCAATCCCCTGTGGCACTACAGAGATGCTGGCCAAGCATCTACCTATACTTATATACTTCATATCATAGATTAGAAGTACTGAAATTTCTTTTTCAACTCACATGAAATAAAAAAATATATAACTATGCACATATGATATACTTACAAATACACTCATGTCCATAAATTAAGGATAATGCAAAATCAGGCAAAGGAAGAGTTAGAAGCAAAACAAATTTGACTTATTTGTAAAGCTTCTTTATTAAACAAAAGGTAAAGAGCAAAAAAAGATGCTATATGTTTGATATTAAAAAAATTAGCGATTTTTTCTCCGTGGAGCAAATTACAAAAAAACCTGTTCACAAGAAACCAATATTACATGGTTGGTATGATTGTTAATACATTGTATGTCTCCCAGACGATGCAATACAGTCCGTGCAACGCCTAGGCATGCTGAGTATCAAATTATCGATCTGATCTTGGGGGATATTACTTCACTCAAAAAGCAATGCTCTCCGAAGTTCTGGTAGACATAGGAGGAGGTTGACGGGCTGCAACTCGTCGGCCAAGCATGTCCCACATGTGCTGTACTGGATTCAAGTCCGGTGAGAATGCTGGCCAGTCCATACGGGTGATATCCTCCGATTGGAGGCATTCGCTTATGATGTTTGCACGGTGAGGACGGGCGTTGTCATCCATAAACACAAATTGTGCGCCCATGGCACCCCAAAAACAAATGTACATGTTGTTCCAGAATGACATCCCGACAGATTTGGCTTGTCATGGTTCCAATTTGAACATGCAGGTCAGTTCTGGAACCCAGAATAATTCCACCCCAAAAGAGTACTCCTGCACCACCGTAACGGTGTCGTTCACTGATATTTTCTTGGTGGTAACGGGTACCTGGAGCTCTCCATATGAAAGTCCGGCGAGAATCAGACTGCAAGCTAAACCTGGACTTGTCGGAAAACATCACACAAGCCCACTATTACGGTGTCCACAATACATGCTCTCTACTCCAGGCTAACCGCAGACGACAGTGAGTTGCAGTAAGTGGAATGCATCTGACAGGTCTATGAGCATATAGACCAATCTGCCCTAAGCATCTATACACGGTCTGCCTTGAAATTGTTGTACCAGTGGCTGAAAAGAGCTGACGAGACAGGTCTGAGGCTGTGCTCTGCCTGTTTCTTTTGGCAGTAACTGCCAAATACCGGTCCTCATTCGGTGTTGTAACTCTGGGGCAATCTGTGCTGTAACGTCTACTCACATTACCATCATCTTGAAATTGTTGCCAAAGCCTGGAGATGACACTCTGGGCAATTCCAAGTTCGTCTGATACTTCCAGTTCAGTTAGGTACGCCCACATTCCAGACGGCCGACAATTCTACCACGTAAAAAATCATCCAAATGCGTCCTTTGTGTCAGAACTATTCGGTTATTGCACTGAAATGCTTATAAAGCACCTGCGAATAATTTTACTTCTTTGCCTGTATTCTTTATATATCACTCTCTTACACTCTCGTCATTGTGACGTACCATCGGTGTCATCTGGTTACTTCCTGAAATTTGCATATGATTCTTGAAGATGTGCGTAGTGATTTTACAGGTGATATATTTATTTTAGAGTTCGATTTCCGCGTGACTCCAAATTATCCTTAATTTATGGACATGAGAGTAATTAAATTTGATTGGATCAACCCGATATTCGGAATATAACACAATGTCATTTCAAATCAGTATGGAATAAAAGGTTAACAATACTGCAATTTAAAATCAGAAGAGATTAGATTTTAATATGCCAGAGGTGATACTCATGAAACACAAACTGGAAGTTATAAATGAAAATTTAAACAGCAGAATTCCAGCTGAATAAGAAAGGTAATTTGATCACTAAAAATAATCGCCACAATTTCTTTCATCTGCAAAATTTCCAAGATTCAGTGTTTGGGGTTTCTCTTTGTTCATTTTTTCCCCTCTTCATTAACAGACTGGCTGCCAATTATGTACTGGCAAATAATGTGGTGGTATCATCTAACAGGAAATAATGTTGCCATATGTAAAGAGGTATGTGTTACCAATTTGTTTTCATATTAGTCAGTATTGTGTTATAGATGTGTGTAATTTTATAGGCGTGGTAGTAAATGCGGGAAATTCAACAGAACACATTTTAATACAACTTTTTTATTCAAAATTTTTACTTTACAACTTTTTTATTTTACAATTGTCTTGTAATTTTTTCAAAATTTTCTCAAAATATGAGCGATGACAATGACAATTAACCAGGGCCTTCTTGTCCTAAATGAGCAAGATGTGACTACAAAAGACCATTAACATATAAAGAACTTGCAAAATATTTTGAAAACAATTTATTAAATGCACATAAGTAAATTCAGTTCCTCAAGTGAAGAAGAATATGTCGTTAACATAGATGATTCAGAATATTCAGAAAATGATGTACAAGAAAATAATGCAGAAATTTCAAATCAACAAAAATCTGTTACACTAGGAAATGTAATTTGCCCAGATAAGGTGACATGAAGTTCTTTTCTTATTAAGAGTGGCTTCTGTTGAAGTTTTATATATTTATCCTGGCAGCAAGCATGTTAATCATTTCATATTTTTACATTTGATGACTTATTCCATGCCTGAGACAAATTATAGTTGACAAGTTTTATTATAACTGCAATTAAAAAAATAAATTTCATCACTAGAGTGAGATTAAAAATCTGATGGTCTTTCGGTTTATTTTACTACTTTTCTTCTGCGAATGAATATATTTTAAACAATATAATTACACCACTTTTAATCTTCAGTTAATCATCAAACGAAAGTGCAGATGTTAAGAGCATGTTGTTACCTCATGCTTATCCATAACTTTAACTGTTATTGGCTTTCTGAGGAAAATAAGTTATGTGTGCTAAATCTGTTGTTTTGCGATAGTTTTCCATTTGATAAGATAATAAGTATTATCCCCCCCACACTTTCCTTCAACAGATGGCACTAAGTATCTCTTCTGCTTATGATATTTGAAGCTTTGTATATATATATATATATATATATATATATTTGGCTCCTGATAAAAAATGAGTTGATTACATTAATAAGTGAAATAAATTAAGTCTCCTTTTTTCACCGAAACTAATACTGAAGAAAAGTTAAATTTTAATATTTGTCGTAGTGTACAATGTTTACAATGTTTGCTTAGGAAATTCCTCAATTTTTAACCTAAAAATTTCATTCCAAATTTTCAGGTAAGCACACAGCAGAGATAATTTAATTTTTTAATTCATAACTTATTTTCCTCAGAAAGCCAATAAGAGTTAAAGGACAAAATATGTATAAATAGTTATTAACAATTAAATGCTTTACACACCAAATTCAGAATTCTTACATTACACAAGACATTAGCATACTAGAATTTATTTATGTGAGTTAGGCCTCAAAACTGAAACTTACCTACATGTCATATCTGCATTATTAACTAACAATGTACAAACACCTCTTTTACAACCTTCTCTGCCAACAAGGTTATGAGGATGTGGCCTGTATGGTGGTCCATCTTTGGTTACACAAGATACAACTACAGCGTAAGGGCCTTGATAATTCATCACCTGCATAAATAGCACAATTTCTTTTAATGCAAATCATCAAATTAACTTAGAGGAAATATTTTTAAAAAGAAAAATAATCAATTTATCAGCATTATCTCATGCTATAATTTTGACTATTATGGAAATGAATAAAAAGCTCCAGTTTGGGATAACTTATACTATCAATTCCTTTTTATCTGCAAATTATTAATTAATGTATACTATTAGATTTTTAGCAATGTTTAGCAAAACAAAATATAAAATACATTTGATTATTTTTAATAATCATACCATTTCAGAGAAAATCAAATTGTTTTCTAGAATATTACATATCTTTTAATTTTGTCATGCATTCCACACATAACTGCTATCTTTCTTTTAATAAAAGTAGTTAAAAAATAATTGGACAAACTTTCAGTATATTCTATACAATATAAATTTAGAATCCTTATTTTCAGCACTTTTTTTGGAGGGGGGGAAGACACTAAAAATCAGAATTTGTTATTTAGTATACCTTCTAAAAAATCGAGCAAAAGCAACTGGCTGTAAAATATATGGAAAAAACTTGATAAAGCTCTCCTATAATATTCCAAAACTTCCTTTCCTGATTATAAACAATAATATTCCACATTAAAAAAAAACTTTATAAACCACATCTTTTTTTTTAATTTATGAATATTTAAAAATAAACTAAGTACCTGGATTGTAGGGTATGTTCTATTTTCTGCAGTATTATTGGCTCCAACTATGCTTCCAGCAGACCTGCCTTCAATTTCACATTCATAGCGAAACCTTAAGCTACGTGAAGCAGGTTGCTCAATAATTCGAACATATGGCTTATTCGTATAATGAAGTACCGGAACACTGGGCATAGTGGGCTGTGCAGATTGATCCATTAAATGAGATTGGATCACTTCATCTAAAATAAAGTTTGACAAAAATTAATTTTACAGAATAGAATATTAAAAAAATTATGTAAAGTTACTTATATTCAAGTGACAGAATTTAATTCAGGAAATTTTCTTCTGCCTGCAAAGATAACAAATATTAGATAAGATAAATTCACAGTATATCAGATAGTTTTTTTAGGAAAAACAAGGCCTTCTAATTAACAGCAAAATAAAATAAGCAAATAATGTTTAAGTAGAATTATTTTAACTAAAATCAGAAAACCATTCAATACATAAAATTATACAGTTTACAACTTACACTGGTGTGCAAAAATTAAGGACGAAGTCCAAAAATTAGCATATCAGCTGAACGAAGAGGCAGAGCGGACAGAAAGACCAATCAGGAGATTAAGTAAGGTGATGTATGGTAGCACATGCGCAGATAATGCAGGTAGACGTAATGGGGGAGTGTCTGAGTAGTATAAAGCAGTGTTCCGCAACCTTTTCTCACCTGCGACACACAAAAAATCTTTCTGGAATTTCGTGGCACACTAAAGAGTTCCGAGTTATCAAGGAAGTGCCGAAAAAATTCAAATGCTGACACACTTACAATCACACACACAACCACACAACAGTGAAATATATAAAAACACTTAAAATAGACATTATTAAGGAAAAAAAAATTGTCATTGTGTATTAAATACATGATAAAAAATTGCAAAATGTCAAATACATGTATTTGATTGCGGCACACCTATATCCTACTCATGGCACACCAGTTGCGGAGCACTGGTATAAAGCATGTTGTCGGTGTAAGATCAGTATTTCTGGCAAAGAGATTGCATGCCGTATAGAAGTTAAAATCACACCGAGTTGCTGCCTCAGCGAGAAATGGCGAATAATCAATCTGTTAGACGACATATGGATGCTTTTACCCAAGGTCGAATCATTGGGAAGTTGGAGGAAGGCCACAGTGTGACAAGTGTGGCTGCAGTGTTCGGAATTGCTCACAACATCGTTTCATGACTTTGGAGACAATTTCAAACTACAGGAACAGCTATCCGGGGGTTTAGTAGTGGTCGTCCACGAGGAACCACACCCGCAGATGACCGGTATATTGTATTACAGGCCAGAAGAAACAGGTGGCAGACAGCGGGAGAAATCGCTAGACACACGACACAGGCGACTGGACGACCGATATCGCGTTTTACCGTGGCCAGAAGACTACACGGTGGTGGTCTGCTCGCACGACACCCTGTACGGTGTGTACTCCAACGCCTGCCCAACGGAGACGGCGTTCTCTGTGGTGCCGGGTACACCAGAATTGGAGAGACAATGAATGGGGACAAGTACTCTTTACAGATGAGAGTAGCGATTCTCATCGCATACTCATCTGGAGAGAGTGGGGAAGCCGCAATCATCCCTCGAACATCATTGAAAGGGACAGGTATGGAGGTGGCGGTGTTCTCGTTTGGAAAGGCATCATGCTTGGTAGTCGTACAGACCTTCACATCTTCGACACAGGTTCAGTTAACGGGACCCGTTATTGTAACGAGATTCTTCTTCCATATGTGCGTCTTTTTAGAGGCGCTATGGGTCCGCAGTTCCTTTTCATGGACGACAATGCACCATGTCATTGCACAGTAGCTGCCGAACAGCTCTTAGAGAGTGAGGATATTGAACGTATGGATTGGCCGGCACGATCTCCGGATCTCAATCCCATCGAGCATGTATGGGATTTTCTAGGCAGACGCTTGGCAGCTCGTACCTTACCACCAGTAACGATTCCGGAGTTTCGATTGGCGCTGCAAGACGAATGGGCAGCAATGCCTCAACAACTCATTGACCCCTACCCTCATTCTCAGCATGGGCAGATGCTGTGAAACCTGCCTAACAGTCAGGGGAGATCATATCCCCTATTAAAGACCGGATGTTTCTTGCTGGACACCCATCACAGGGATGTTTTGGCCTTCAGTCGCATTGCGCTCCATGCTACTTTTTCAATAAAGCTTCTTTTTATCCCTCTGATTTCTCTTTTAGTACGTGTTGCTTACATTACTCATGTCCTTACGTATTGGGGGATCTTACGGTATTAAATGTGTTGATTTGGAAAGCTTTTGTACGAAGTTATATTGAAAAAACCATCTTGTCCTTAATTTTTGCACACCGGTGTATACTTTCTTTAAAAAGAACGGAAAACAAATATACTTTGGAATGCATTTCAAGAAGGAAATCAATACCATGCAAAAGTTATTTAAGACTATAGTTCTAGATCTTAGTAAAACCAAACACACGAAATGAAATTTTTTCTTAACATTTTTTAAATAACTGTATTCAATTCACAAGAACTATGAGATAATTTCAAGAAAATGCTTCGGGTAAAGATTTGACAACTGTCAAAAACTTGTTATTCAATAAAATATGTTCATAAATTCAGGGCATAAAATAAATAAATAAAATAAAATAAAATAAAATAAAAAACAGAAAAGCATTTTACAGCACAACAATAATAAAATACATACACAATGAAATAAAAATTCCGTATGATAAATTCTTCAATCAGCTTCCTAATGAAATAAAACAAAGGATATTAAAGACTAATATAATGGTGTAAAAGAAAAAATTAATTTAGTTCGAACTTTTTGTTTTGGTAGATATTTCTGATAATTTCACTTTGCACATTGCATTTACTTTAACCTAAATATATTTTTTTTCCCTTCATAATTCTTCTTTCATCAGATATAGGAGATATACTCATCTCTATGAAAATTCACAACTTAGCTTAAGTCTTACATTACTTAAGATTTCAACACTAAATGGTGATATAATTATCAGCAAAGCACGTTCTTTTTTCTAGTTAGCATTCATTTTATACGAGCCCCAGATAAAGGCTGAAGCGTATAACTTAGTTATGCTTGAACAGTGGTATATAAAAACTGGCTGGCTTCAGCTTCTATAATTTTACATGAATTTCTAAATTCATAATGTTTATATCCTAATAAAAGATCCTCTTCTTCAGTTCATGGTCAAATTAAGAAAGATTACATTAAAATAAATTAGATGTTTAAAACTATATTGAATTTTCTTTATTAATTTTAGAATTGATATTATGCAAAAACAAACTGAAAGTCTGACAAGTTTTTCATTTCTGAATCTGGCAATTTATTTTACTTTAATGATATGGAACATCTCGTTAAGTAATTTCTTCCATTTTTTAACTGTTTTACTTTAATCACATGGAATTTCCAAGTAAGCAGCTTTTCTTTGAAAACGTCATCAACATTGCTTCATATTTTTTAAAAACAACTTTAAAAATCTTTGTCTGCAATTTATACACATGAAATTAAACAAAACAAAACATCAGCCGTCTTAGACTCCAAACAAATTCTTTGCAGTCTTTTCTAATTCCAAGATAAATTGTCTAAATCACTTTTAATAAAGCTTTTTGGTTCTTTTTTTCTCCTTGATTGTGAATAATTCTGCCTTTTATACTGCACAACAGGCAGATTTTTTTTTTTTTTTTGTTTGTTTTTAATTTCTTTCACTGTCTAAAAGTGAAGGGATGTAACTGGCATGAATTTCTTTCACTTTAGAAAAAGGATGGCTAGTACAGAATGCTATAACTATATAACTTTTTCAAACACTAAAAACTATTATGGTCATTCCAAAAGTTTATTACTTTAGAGGTAAGTTTTGAAGTAACATCAAAAGCAAGGTCATTCCAAAAATTTGTTTTATCGACGAGCTTTGAAGTAAAGTTAAGTATATTACTGTCACTATTTATAACAACTTTATAACTTCAGTACTTTTAATCCAAATATTGCTCAATAATACATTCTATATCATCAAATATCTTCATAGAAATGTCACAATGACTCAAACAAATGTTAATCAGACAGTTATGTATGAACTATAAGGTACTCAAACACAATTTCCATGAATTTTTATTATCATCATAGAATGAGGTTATATGTTATCAAAAAATGGCAGAACTCTTTTTGTTAACTGCTATTACAATATCTGCATGCAGTTGAATGAAGTGAGCATAACAGACTTCGTCAGATACAAGGGCTTAAAGTAAATTACATATATATAATATATATATTTCTTCTGCCTTCTCTGTTTGCCTTGTCTCATCACCTTGGCTATCACCAAAGTTTGTTCAGAATTATTCAATTTACACAGCATGAAGTTAACTGGGAAAAATAACATCCGTTTGACTGCAAATAAAAGGTATGTAGATATGACCAGTTTTGTATTCACATCTGAAAAGTACAGTTGTAGTCTATTTTTTGACAGAGTCACCATATTAATTGAAGCACTTGTCATAATGTTTTACCAACTTACAAATCACTCCTGTCTAAAACTTTGGTAGTTGAGATTTTGACCAGCCAGTAACAGCATTTTGAAGATCCTTGTTGTCAGCAAAAATTGCTGGCCACCAAATCCAACCCCATGCCACTGACTGTTGTTTTGTATCAGTGTTCATGTAGGCGACTCCAATCTTATCACCAGTCATTATTCTGTTCATAAACTCATTCTCATGTATATTGTACTGGGCAAGAAAAGTCTAAGGCACAGCTCATTTGATTACTTTTGTAGATCTAAATGAGAATGTTCAGGACTTATCAAACAAAAAATTTCTGGTAGCACAATTTTCAAGTAATTATCTTGTACAAAACAGTCCAAAAAGTTTTTAGAAAATTCTGAGATAATGAATCAACAGTCCTCATGAACTTTGTAACTAATATCTTTGCCAAGATCAACATACACTACAGAACGTCTACCACTCCTAGGCTTACCATGAATATACTTTTTCCTGCTTTGAAAAATCTGATTTACTGATGCACATCATCTTTACTCATAACCATTTACGCCATCTACACGACACAATTTATAATGAATGTCTGCCGCTGACACACTTTTTGCTCTAATAAACCTAGCATTTGCCTGGGTTTTCAATGGCAGCACACAATTTGCGATGTTATAACCAGCAGATGCATGGAAGTCTGATACTCTCACTAGACAGCTAGAAGCTTATTGAATCACAGAATGTGTAATACTATAACAAAGGCGGCCCTCCTACTAATACTAGCAGAGCACCACAACAGTAGTTACTTTCTGAATTATCCTTATACAATAAAATTTTTCAATAAATATCAAGCTTAATTGCGGGTGATGCCATCAGTCAGTTTTGCCAGGATTTTTGAGAATGCAGTAATGTTCTGGTTAACAATTTTTGCTACATAATAAACTTATTACACAACTTTTTAAAGAAAATAACCTTTGCACATCTCAAATTAATGTAATTTTTAATATGTTCTTACAATACTATGATTTCATGGAATGGCTCATCAGCAGCTTTGCAGCAAATTAAAAATTCAAGGCACTTTACTCTGAGACATATGAATTTTAATTTAAAGGGGCTAAAGATTTACTACTTCTAATAATGAAAGTACAGTTAAATGCTTTTATTTAGCATTTTTTAACCCAGTTATTTTTAGTGTTGCAATTTCAATATTACAATGTTATGTTCATTACAAAGCAAAGCAAATTATTCATACAAATTGCAAGTACTCTTTAAGGAGGGAGAAAGGAATAGACACTCACCCACATCAGAAATGGTTAGTGAATCAGTAAGGATAGAATACAGCATTTCAGATGTTAGAAAATATTAGTATTAAGAGAGAAAACAATAGCAGAGGCCAAAGACACCAACAGCCCTACTGCAATTGAAAATTAGAATTAGTCACATTAGGATATGCATATCACATTGCAAAATTTTTAAGAATGATTGTAAAATATCATGCCAAATTTTTATAAAAAACAACTGCAAGACAGCACTGCTGATAATTCCCCGATCATGAAGTATACCAATAGATTAGATAGGAATATGATGAGCCATTTTAAGGCCATATGTTATAAGTTAATTTGTAATGAGAGGGCTTTATCAAAATAAAGAATGAAAAGTTACATTCACACCCTGTTATATTGTATGAGTTTTGGAAAGGAATAAGCACTTGAAGCATAACAAAAAATACCAGAAGTGTATACTTAGAATGTGCTTCTACTCATAGCACATAAAAACTAGTTTTGCCATATTTTGACTTGGTCATCTTAAATAAACTCTCTTCAGACAACCTTCTGGGGAAAATTACAATGCTGTTGGGAATGCTTTAATGGAAAATAGTCAATGATTACAACTGAGGAGATTGTTGACAGGCTTAATATTCACATTTCATATTTATAGAACTCATTCCAAGGATTTATTTTTCAAGTTTGACAGATAGAAAAGAATAAGCTACATATCCACCCATCATTTGATAGAAAAGAATAAGCTACAGTATGTCTTTGCAGTAATTTCTCTGTATGATGGCATGTAAAAGGCCTATTTTAGATCCAGTTGTAACACGCAACAAAAAATGGATCGAGAGCCAGAATAAAGAACAAAAGAGAAATTGAAAGCAAACAATAGATCCTGTGCCAGAACACAAAATGAAATGGAAACCGAAAAGAGAAATCGCAGAACCCATGAAAACAGTTGCTTTTCATATAATGAAAGTACTACTCTCTCTTTGATAAAACTGCAAAAAAGAAATCTTTTCTTTGAACTTCTTCCTATGCAGAAAAATAATCATGATGCGCAAGTACTGTACATCAAAAAATGGCTCATTCTAGCTGCCATCATTCATTAGAACAATGTTAGATCACATGTTTACCAAGTGATAAAGGATTTAAAGTGAAAAATTCTCCAAAAACTACAACAATTTCCATCTTTAAATCTGATCTATTCTGCTCTCTACAAATTAAGCTGAATAGTATGCAGTATGATTCTGCAGGAGCAGTAAAAAAATAGCCCATAAAGATAATTTAGTTCCTATGAAAAAGAAATCTGAAAATTCATAAAACATTCAACAAAAATTACAGAAAGTTATGGTGACAGCTATTTTCTTTCAGATTGACTGTTTCTATTTTATTTCCATATTTCACATGAAATTCTGCAATCATTCAACACGTATACTCAAGCTACAGAACAGCAAAACTTGTTTTGTGTAATTTAAAATCAACTTGGGGAAAAACTGTTTAAATTTATGCAGAGTTAAAAGTTCAAGTGAAAATTAACCAAAATTTTATACAAAAATGTCTTGGTTACAAATGCTTTGAGTAACAAAACCTAAATAAAATTTATTACTTAAAGCTAACAATAAACAACCTCTTTAAAACTAATAAATATATTCATACATTGTTACAGATAGGTATACAGCTTTACATTGTTACAGATAAGTATGTTAATAAATTCAGAGAAAAATTAGTAACAGAAAATCTGTAAGAACATCCTGATTTAATTTATAAAGTTTTATCAACTAATGTGTACAGTATAATCAGCAGCTTTTTTTTTTTTTTTTTTTTTTTTAGGAAAAGAAATGACATTCAAGAAAATATGCACTCGCGCACACACACACACGCACGCACAAAAAAAAAAAAAAAAAAAAAAGCAAACTTCTATAGACAGAGAAATGAAATGCAACTAACATGAATTCATTTCCATAATAAATATTATTAAATTTAAATATGAATTAATTTCAAAAACAAATGTACAAACTTATTCTCTAACACAGCTTTACATTTTAAACATATTTCTTTAAAAACCATTTTTTTTTTTTTTTTTTTTTTTTAAACTTCTGAAGAAGTGGGATCTATATCTCATCACCCTGAAAATTGGTAACATTTTGTTCAAAATCTATGCTCAACTGAGCTTGATTTTTTTTTCCTTAGTTTATATTTACATAGTTAAGAAGTAATAAAATAGTTTCTGAAGAGAAACAAATATTTCAAGTGAATTAACCAAGATTTTGCATTACTTTCTTTGTGTGGTTATTCAGAAACAAATAATTCTTATTTATGCTTGTTTTATACTTAGGAAAATACATTCCTACAATATACAGATATTAATCTTATCTAAGATGTAGTAAATATTTATTTTTTTATATAAAAAATGAAGTTTTCCATTTAACTTCCAGTCTTCTCCAAACTTGATAAAAATGTTATACTTTTAATAGGAGTGAGTAACTTGAAATCAAAGAAGCCTCAGTGGTCTTTACAATACTGGAAAAAAACTTTTTTTGATTTTTAATATTACAGGCTCTTTAAAAGAGGGGCTTATATAATGAACAGTCCTATTGCACTCTTTGCAGGATGCAGCAACTACCAATTCTTAACTTTTTGTGGTAAACAGCCAGCACATATACAATGCAAATACAGTGGTTAACATCACCTCTGCACCAAATACAGATGATAGAACAATATTGTTATCTTTCAGTTTGCATAAAAAAAATCAATTGTTACTTTAAAACACGCACTTTAAAAGCCGTTGCAAACCCCTTCCCCATTTGCTATCCTACGTGTCGTCTTCACCACATAGCACTTATTTTCTCCACCTAATCTGAAACTGTAGATCTAACATTCTCATTCGCATGAGCTATTACGACGCGAAACATGTTAAACGGAACTCAGATGTTTATTATTTTAAAGATCACATAAAGAGAGATTTTATTTATTTAATACTACTTAAATTTTGAAAAGTTTATATTTGAAAAGATGAGGCGTACAAACGGTGAAAAATTACAGAATTAAAAAATAATGAATTGTTGCTATTGCTTCGGAAGATAAAATTTAACATGAATGAATAACTTTATGAATCATTACGAAAACACAAATGAAAAATTTTGTCTAACATTAATGACGACTATTATTTAATAAATGTGACCAACTCGATATTTTTAAGGGAGTTTTCCACTGGCTTTCAATCTTTTTCATCACTACTAAGATCCATACACTTTATTATAAAACTCACTCTTCTGACTTACTTCAGCATGTTTTCTAAAATTTTATTTTACTTTCGTACATATAGTGCCCACTAAGGTTTCGCCAGCGGTACGCAGAGTATTATTTTCATTTTTTGGCGCCCAAGGTATTTCTAAGCTGCCGATTATGCGAGACTATATTAATCAAATTCGAATCTATGAAAAAGAAAACGTAAATAAATTAGACTAAAAATGAATCCGCTATCAGTCGGTAACATTCCCATGTGTCATCCGTTCGCAAATAGAACATAAAAGTATAAAGAAAAGAACATCATTGCGAGATGATTACTGAAGCATTTTGGCGCCAAACACACGACGTTACTCCGCCTAAAATCAATGAAACCGTAGCCGATGATTCAGTATGCTGCCGAGACGAATGGCACGGTTTCTACGTGTATCTTACAAAGAATACTGAAACTGCTTTGAATGATATTTTAATAAAACTGGCAGATTATGAAATGCGGCTTAAATTAAACTTTCAAGGAAAAAACATTGTTTCATCTCTTAATAATCTTTCATTACACGTTTTTACACATAGCTTACGAATATATGTTTTCATTACTACTATTAAAATTGTAAAATTTCTTTAAAACATTATATTTTATTCCCATAATTCTCTGCGAAATCGAAAATTTACAAGTGAGGTGCCGAATTTCTTTTTCAAAATATTACATATCCTCCCCATCACATCAAAGTAGTATCAGATAAGTCCCTGACAAGCACATAAATTAAAAAAATAGTAATTCTAAGAACCATTTTGGAGATTAAATTCTATTCAGCTTTAAAACTGGCTCTTCCTACCTTAAGCTTGCTACATTTAGATAATTTAAATCACATTAAAAACATAAAGAAGGAGAAAAGTAAAAATTTGTCATTAGATGCATATCCCCTAAAAAAAATTTCCCTCCCATTAATACTACTAAAAGTCTGTATATGCCATCTCTTTAAAATTATACTTTAAGTAAAATACAGCAATTTTTGTTGTAAATTACTATTACTTATTAATAACCTTATAAAACACATTTTAAAAAAAGTAGGTGAAAATCTGTCAATCAGTAATTATTAAATAAAAGAATTAAATATATTCAGAGTAATCTACAAACTGCAAAATGTTGCAATAATTTACACCAATAAAATTTTAAAAATTCCACAGTTGATATCCACTCCTCTAAACCAAATAAGATATATTAAACATTCTCCATTTCCCCCCCTTTACTTTTATCATAAATGTTTTAAAATTTCTACCAATGAAATATCAAGATATTACTACAATTTCCTCCGCATCACATCAAAGTAGTAGCAGATAAGTCCCTGACGAATATTCCTTAAAATATTAAGATTAATACTGTTTTTTATAAAACTCTTAGAAAATTAAAAATTTTGATATTGGAGGTAATTCTAAAACAATTCTAGAATTCTTTTAAATTTCCCCAATTTTTTTAATTTTTTCTTCTAAAATATTCATTTACAATTACCAAGAATATTATTTGAAAGAAAAAATGAGGAACAGCTGAAACGGGGAGGGGGGGAGGAACATCATAATTTTTTTTCAATAACCTAATACAGTCAAAAGTCGTTAATAAGGACTCGTCGGGACTTCGGCGATTCCGGATTATCGATTTTTCCGGATTATAGATCATCAGTTTAAATCTCGTAAGATGGCATGCAGAAATTCTAAAATTAAAAATATGAAACCGTAATTTTATGAAATAAAGAACAATTATGATCTAAAGGGTATCAAAATTTGCAAAAAGAAAAAGCTTAATATTTATTTGTTTACTTTATTAAACATTTCTTTCAATGTAAGTTGTTTAAGTTTTGCTTCCTTTCATGTGATAATACTTTCTCTTTAATTCTATTAA